GTTTATTTCCCAACAAACAAGTTTTAAATAAATGAAACAAAAGAACCGAATTTGAATGGCCCGATTTTCTATGTCAATCCTCATAAGAGTTCAAAACAGTATTATACACAAAAGATGCAAGAACAAAATCCACGAACAGTGCAACTCGCGAAGAGTACAACCACACTAATTAGAAATCGTACAACCCACAAACAACAACAAAATTCAATACCTCGAATTGAAAGGAGTGACATAACCAAATGATAATCACGATCCAGAATCACAAACCAAGAACAACCGAGAACCAAAAAATCAAAATTGCAACCGCAAAAAAACCCAGTCACGACCTATAATCACTATTCGTGAAAGGATCGCAACGCAAACCGAAACCCTAAACCCTGAACCACGATGACAATCTGGACGAAACAAATTCCACATTGATTAATCAGGACCCAGAAACCATGAACAAAAAAACTAGAGCGATCAGGATGTTGTCGCGTCAGAGAGAAAAAAAAAACAATCAGAACCAGAAAATCTGAAATTTAATCTACGAGGCTAATACCATGTCAAGAATTATTGACTTGATATCTTTCTCATTGTTATTTCTCGTGTGTGTGTGTGTGTGTGTATATATATATATATATATATATATATATATATATATATATATATATATATATATATATATATATATATATATATATATATATATATATATATATAGATTATAGGGTTATACAAATAATTAATAATTACATTGAGAACAAATCAATTCCTAATTTATTTTCCTTATTCTAAAAACAAACAAATAAATATAATTAAAGCACAAATTAACTTCTTATTCACAAATATTTCATTGATTATCTTTAAATAAATTAAAATTTAAAACAATTTATCTATAAACTTAAAATTTAAAAGAGAAATAATATTATTACGTCTCTTATATTATGCGATATAAACACATTATGCTATTGTAATGTTATTTATCTTGTCTTATAAATAAAAAAACTATATAGAAAATCTATGAGTGTTTAATTATTTAAATATTTCATTGAAAGCCGAAAAACATTAAAATCAAATTCGAAGCTATTGTAATGCTACAAGACGGCAACCCGAAGAGTTAGGCATGGAAAAACGTGTAAAAAAGAGTAAAATGTGTGGGACTGACGGTCATTTACGTAGACAAAAATGATGTATCTTTTTCACTCATTGGTATTAATAGAATTGCTTATATTTATGATTTTATTTAATAAACAAATTATTTTAATTAATTAGATAATTAATTAAATGTTATGAAAAATATTTAATAATATTATAAAATTAATTAATTAATTATTGATTAATATTTTAAATCATCGAAATAATTTTTAATATTTAAAAAACAATTAAATATATAAAATCATAATAAATATTTTATATTTATATTTAAAACAAAAAAAGAAGCTTTCATAGGGTCGGCCAATGGTTGGCCGAGCCCCTTCATGGTCGAATTCATCTTCATATGTTCGGCCAATGAAAGGACGACCCCTATAAAAAACCATGACAATTTGATAAATTGATTTTAACTTGTGGCAATTCAGTAGTTTTAATTTCAGACTGTGACATTCATGTTAAAAAACTCTTGTTATTGGTGTGGAAATTTTGGTTATTACATTTTATATGCTAACTATCCGTCTATCAACGTCTAGTTTATAGAGATTGTATAATAAGTGAGATGATTGACCTTATATTTGAGCAATTAAATATTCTCCCTGTCTTACAATGAATGACTTAGTTGATTTTTTTACACAAATAAAAGAAATAAATAAATAAAGAGATTGAATAATATTTTTACTAAAATACCCTTATCATATATTGAGAAAATGAAAATAATATTAATTAGAAAGTAAAATAAAAAAAAAATATATTAAAAATTAAAATAAATCATTCATTTTAAAACACTCTTTTATTCTAGCACACATGAATCAAAAACCTCTCAAGGGGGACTCTTATCCTACATACCTTTTAGCTTTATAATTCAACTATACAACATTCTTCCAATACTTGAATTTACTAAAACTTATCTTTAAAGATCAAAAACATTAATATGCAATCTTATATAAGTAAAATGTTGAGTCCATAAGAGTGCTGAGAATGGACGGGAACATCAAATATTCAAACACATTATATTATGTATAATTTTTAAATTATAAACTAGAAGTCGTGCTAGAAAATTATATAAAATAGACAAAATACTTTATTTTAAAAGATTTTAAGAATGATATTAATTTTAAACTAGAAGTCAAATATTCAAACACATTATATTATGTATAATTTTTTAATGAAGTGAAGATGATTTATGGACCCTGATTTTTAAAATGTTGAGGTATTTCCGTAAACCAGTGTCTCAATCCCGCTCGAGCTTATTTACTTTGTTAAGAAATCAGCGGTATTTCCGTATAGATGGGTTCTTGTTCAGTTTGGTGCCTTCATAGTTCTATGTGGAGCAACACATCTGATTAATTTATGGACCTTTACAATTCATACGAGAACCGTGGCGATTGTAATGGCCACCGCTAAGATTTTAACTGCTGCGGTATCTTGCGCCACTGCTAAGTTGAACGCCTTCAAGTCCATTGATTTTGTTTAAGCATCATTGTTTATTCTTACGGCAATGCATGCAATAGCAAAGCATACGACAGATGAAACCCTGGTTTTCAAACCAACAAATTCTTCAACTCAACCACAAACTCTCACACCTCACAAGAACTAACCAATTCTCCGATTCCCTCAAACTCTTCACCAAAATCCACTCCTCCCACTTCCATAAACCAGATCACTACACCCTTTCAATCGTCATAACCGCCACCGCCAACACCGGCCATGTCACCACCTTCGGTAACCAGCTTCACTCCTTCGCAATTCAAACAGGCCTCAAAGCCCATTCTCATGTCGCCAATTCCCTCCTCTCTCTTTACTCCAAAGCCCATGACATTAATTCAGTTCAACTCGTTTTTGAAGATGTTTTATACCCAGATGTTTATTCATGGACCACCATTTTATCTGCTGTCACTAGATTGAGTCATGTTGATTATGCACTTCATGTGTTCGATAAAATGCCCAAGTGTTATGTTGCTGTTTGGAATGCTATTATTACTGGGTGCAGTGATAATGGACGTGAAGATGTTGCTTTTAAGTTATTTAAAGATATGTTTAGGATGAATGTTAGGCCTGATAATTACACGTTTGCTACTATCTTGAGTTTGTGTTCTTTGGAGGTTTTGGATTATGGAAGGCATGTTCACTCTATTGTTTTCAAAACTGGGTTTTTGGTTAGGACTTCTGTGGTTAATTCTCTTATTACTATGTATTCTAACTGTGGATGTGTTGCCAATGCTTATGAGGTATTTGAGGAAACGGAAGATGGGGTCCGTGATCATGTTACGTATAATGCAATGATAGATGGTTTTGTGGGCATGGAAAGATTTGAAGACGCGTTTGTAGTGTTTAGGGATATGCATAGGGCTTGTATTTGTTTAACCGAAGTTACTTTTGTGAGTGTGTTGAGCTCCTGCTGTTCTTTGAGGGTTGGGTGTCAAGCACAAGCTTTGGCTATTAAAATGGGGTTTGATCATGGCTATACCGCTGTCGACAATTCGACTATAACCATGTATTCATGCTTTGGGGAGGTGAATGAGGCTCGAAAAGTTTTCAAGAGAATGGAAGAAAATAGGGATCTTGTTTCGTGGAATGTAATGATTTCGATGTTTTTTCAAGAGAATTTTAATGAGGAAGCTATCTTGACCTATATGAAAATGAGGAGAGAAGGAATTGAACCAGATGAGTTTACTTATGGAAGCCTGCTAGCTGCATTGGACTCTCTACAAATGGTTGAGATGTTCCACTCCCTCCTTTGCAAAAATGGACTTATTAAAGTTGAAGTTTGGAATGCATTGATTTCTTCATACTCTAGAAATGGAAAGATAAAGTGTGCCTTTCAAATCTTCTCCGATCTTCCCTATAAAAGTTTGGTATCCTGGAATGGTATCATATCCGGTTTTTTGATGAATGGATGCCCAGTCCAAGGGTTAACGCAATTCTCTGCATTACTTAATACAAATCTCAAGCCAAATGCCTACTCCTTCAGTCTTGTTTTGAGCATCTGCTCTTGCATCTCAGACATGGGTCATGGGAAACAGGTTCATGGTTACTTACTACGACACGGTTTTGATTCAGAAATCTCTTTGGGTAACGCCCTGGTGACAATGTATTCCAAATGTGGATCTTTAGATAGGTCGTTGAGTGTATTTAATGCAATGATCGAAAGAGATACAATCACTTGGAATGCTATCATATCTGCTTATTCACAACATGGTCAGGGCAAAGAAGCTGTGCACTGTTTTGAGGCAATGCAAATCTCCCCCGAAAACAAACCAAACCAGGCTACATTTACTGCAGTACTTTCAGCTTGTAGCCATTCAGGTTTAGTTGATGATGCTACCCGTATTTTTTATATCATGGTGAAAGTTTATGGATTTGTGCCAAGTGTGGATCATGTTTCTTGCATTGTGGATATGCTGGGTCGCAGTGGTTACCTTGATGAGGCAGAAAGAGTAATTACAGATGGATATTTCGGAGCACACTCCAATGTGTGCTGGTCATTGTTCAGTGCTTGCGCAGTACATGGTAATTTAATATTAGGAAGAAAGATTGCTAGACTTCTCTTAGAAAGAGAACATAACAACCCATCGGTTTATGTGCTTTTATCAAATATATGTGCAGAAGCAGGCCAGTATGAAGAAGCAGCTAAACTGAGAGATATGATGAAACAGTTTGGGACAACAAAACAACCTGGCTGCAGTTGGATATCAACCTAAGACCAGCAAGTTATAGGTGCTTGTAAATGTATAAGCAGGAGCATAATGTGATGGAGTTCTTGTACCTCCTAGTGTGATTGGATAGGGGATTTTTACAAGCTGTCACTCACTTTACATTTCGCACCAGATTTGCCGGTGTATGCAATTGGTGATGAAAAGCGTCTCATGCAAACTCTTCTCAATGTTGTTGGTAATGCTGTTAAGTTCTCAAAAGAGGGAAGCATTTCAATCACCGCATTTGTTGCAAAGCCTGAATCCTTCAGGGATATTAGATTTCCTGATTTCCTACCAGTGCCAAGTGATGGCCACTTTTATTTGCGAGTACAGGTTTGTTTCTTCAAGCTTGACTAATATTCTTCTGTGGTGTATTGTATCCTCTATTATCTGATTTCATTGGTGGAATGATTTTTTTCACCGCACATTATAGGTAAAAGATTCAGGATCAGGAGTCAATCCACAAGATATCCCGAAGTTATTTACTAAGTTTGCACAAAACCAATTAGCGACAAGAAATCCTGTTGGAAATGGGCTTGGCCTTGCAATATGCAGAAGGTAATTATATCATTACGAAAATGGAATTTGCTCCCTTCAAAATCTTGTGATTTCCTATTGATTGTGTACATTATTTTTAAAATGTGAGCAGGTTTGTGAATCTCATGGAAGGCCATATTTGGATCGAAAGCGAGGGTATTGGTAAAGGATGTACAGTCAGTTTTATTGTGAAACTCAGAATCCCAGACCGATCAAATGAGTTTAAGCTACCTTATAAACCTAAAGCTCTTGTAAACCATGGATCTACAAACATTGCCGGTCTCAAAATTCTCGTCATGGATGATAATGGGTCAGTAACAGCTTCATTTCCACACTTTCAGTTCAAAAATTTGTTACTATGTCACTTATTTGTTATTTAAATATTCTGGTTATTTTATAGTGAAGTAAACGTAGGTTGATTTCTTACTTCCCTAGAAGAACAATGTTTTAAAAATTGAAGCGAATAACGAAGCAGTAGGACCTCCTGGTCATGGTTCAACAATTTTAAACCTATTGAACCAGGACAAAACTGCATTTGAACTGTTCAAATACCTGAACCGTAGAGAATGCTAGTTCACAATTCAATCGATTCAACCGTCTAGTTTGGTTTTTAAACTATTGTCTATGACTTAGTTTGATGCATTTAATTGACTCCACTTAATAACAAAAGACTTGACGGTGTTTGTTGGTGTATTAAGTTGTAGCCGTTTTTGTATTGGCTTCTGTGAGTTTATCTATTGTCACAAGTATCTGTTTCAGAGAGCTTATGAAAACAAACTATGGTATACCATAAGTTCTCCAAGATGGTAAATGTTTAATTATGATGTTTATCCAAACCATATCAATAAATATTTCTAGTATAAATTTAAACTTAGGTGGAGATATGTGAATTTGCATCTTAACAATTTGTATGTTCACTGACATTTTCACTTAATAGCCTGACAAGAAAAGATCCATAATGTGTGCAGTTCTGATTCAGTCATTCACTTTCTACTTGCAATCTATAGAACTCAGAAATCAAAAGAATTGTTTAGTGGCTGATATATTTGCTGTGTTTACTCTTTTGCTTGATTGTCGCATAACACACGGCAAAACTTGTAACGCAGGGTGAGCAGGTCAGCCACAAAGGGGCTTCTTATGCATTTAGGATGCGACGTCACTACTGTAGGCTCGAGCGAAGAATGCATGCGTGTTGTTTCGCAGGAACACAAAGTCATCTTCATGGATGTTTGTACAGGGTTAGATGGTTATGAATTAGCGGTTCGTATACAAGAGAAGTTCGTGAATCGTCAAGATAGACCACTTATAGTTGCTCTCACCGGAAACACCAACAAGTGGAGTAGAGAAAACTGTACGAGAGCTGGTGTGAATGGCCTTGTTTTGAAACCTGTTTCTGTTGAGAAGATGAAGGGTGTTTTAATAGAACTCTTGGAGCGGCGATTTGTGTTTGAAACGGTTTAAACTACCATAATGTCTTACTATTATGAAAAACTTTTGTTGTACATACCAAAACCAAATTAGCAGAATGCGAATTTATAATGTATGGAGGAACTCAATCGAAAAGGCGTAAAGGAGGCCCTAGGCCACTGCTGAGTATGGATTTGTTAAATCCATTTTTGTTAACAAAGTTCGTATATAAACATATTCAATTTTGTATAATTTCAGGCTTTTGATGTTTTGCAGTGGTGGTGAAATTTCATTAACAGACTGTTTCAAAAAAAAAACATTTAGTCAAGACCAGGATCATGTCTCAACATTCTGAAAACAGATGGAAAAATAAATGCTTCTATTTAACTGTCATCGACAATCCGCCAGTAGTTCAAAGCTGAGCTTCAACATTCACAACATTTGTACAGTCTAAGCAACAAGAATGTTAATAAATCTACAAAATTTACAGGTCAAGAAGTTGAAACTCATGTGGTTGGATTACCAATAATCACTAGTAGAAGACCCGTGCGTCCGCACGGGACGCACGGAAAATTTAATTCTTTAATAATAAGAGCATTTTTAAATAGAAATAACAAAATCAAAATGATCATAATTTTACAGTATTAATTGTGAAAATATTCAACTGTTTTAAAATATATTGACAGTGCTTAACACAATTATAATATGTCCAACATAGAATAAAAAAATTAATAATAAATCTTTGATTCTAATAATACTGAGATTACATAACCTACAAGCATGATAAATGAAATGAGAATTAGGGAAATGTTCTAATTAAAAAAGAGGAAACATTATTTTAACCTTATGCTTAATTCCTGTCAAACCAGAAGCTACCCTTTCCCGAAAGCTATGATGTTAGACGACAGAATCATAGAAACGACAATGCTTTATCTTGATTTTGTAATCCTTATCCTTGGTTTTGAAATGAATTATATTATATAAAATTAATATTATATTTTAATTATATAATTTGAACTATAGAAGCAACTAACTTCTTAGAGCAAAATATCCTAAATTGAGCATGTATATATTTTTTGTATAACTTCCTATAGCAGCAAATTAATATTATATTTTAAGTATATATCTCAAACTATAGCAGCGCCTATTTTAAGTATATTCCAAATCAACCACAATCCTACTTTTTAGAACATATATTTAATTGAGCACGTGTAACGCATCATTTGTTTATAGCAGAACTTATAAAACAAATATTGGCAATAAGTGTTACCTCACTTAATGTGTTTTTATAGCAGAACTTATAAATTTGTTTATAGCAGCAAATTATCAGTTGTGAAGCCAATCGATTTTGATGTATACAAAATGCATAGAAAAATAATCCAGAAAAAAATTATCATAGGTCTAAATGATTGCACAGAAAATACATAGCAAAATAATAAAGGACTGATATTAGAATTAACTGCTTTAAGAAGTAAGCAATTGATTCAAGATACATAGCAAAAATATGAGTCAAAGCTTAGGCCTAATTGTTTCATAGGTCTGCAAATTACAATAAGAGTAGGAGTCGCATTATCCTTTGAGTTGAGATGTTCATAAAGTTTGGAAGCATAGTCGTCCCGGAGAGTTAAATCGATGATGTTACGATGTAGTCACTTAGTGTAATGTTTGCACAATCTTTTTTGTTGTTACCACCAATCTGTTTTTTTATAACCTCGTGCAATATTCCAATGACATCTATCATGTTAGCATCAACATTGAAATAAAACAAAATGAGTAAAGGCAAAGTAAGAAAGAAAAATACAAAAACAGAGTGAACATCAAAAGTTACAATTACCATAATAAGTGGTCAGGCTTGAATTTTAAGAAAGTCGGTGATAGATTTGAAATCATATTGGTGTGACAGTATATCCTGGTTCAGATGCTTACACATGGTGGTTGCACTGGTGAAAATAAGTTTTAGATTATTTTCACAAGCCTTGAAAGGAAAATCATTTTTCAATGGTTCACCATTATACAATGTACACGTTTCATGTTCAGTCAAGACATCCACCCAATGTTTGTAATCTCTCGGGCGTGTAATGACTTGGATTTGATGATCCTATATAGAATTGATAACTATGATTAGTTGATGGTTAAGATAAGAAATAGAATGAGAAACATTTGTTAGTAATTACGTGTTTATAACCTTTGCATCTTGAATGATCAGCTGTATGTGCAACTGGCCATTCCTCTCCTTCACAGTCCACAAATCGATAATTCTAAAAGCGTTTATGAAAAAGTATGTGACTCATGAATGTACAACTATCTTCATCCCCTAAGATGAATGATTGAATAGTTATATTTTCTTAATAAACCTCTGATTTACTTTTTCAGATTCAATTCAGTTTTACTTTTTCAGATCATACAGAAAACCTATGATTTTCTCACATTTTCTTTCATTCTCCTGGTGTACAAAACTTAAACAGAAGACCCACCAGAGAATTCCAATAAACATGTTACTCAATAAATACACAAATAATGAAGTCTAGAGCTAAAACAGCCTAAAATGAAAGAAAGGACATATTCAGGTCTCTCAATCACAGAGATGGCACATAAATGTCAAGATATAGAGCCTGTAGGCCAATCATGAGCTAATAAAATTACTCATGCATATATGTCATGTAGTTTGCATGATAAAATTTCTACACGTATGATTACACCGACTAATAGTGAACAAACCTGATAGATTCTGAAACGTTTCGACACTCGTTCTCAAATCTTAGTATAAGATCAGGAATAGGCATCATTCCTACAAAAAAAAATTGCATTAAAATCAAAATCACAATATTTCTTTTTCTTGAGAAAGAAACAAAAATGCACTGGCACAGAGGGTATCCACTATCCAGCAATGATTTCACGTCAACTAAAATGAGCAGCAAATATGTAGATGGGTTATTTCTTTTACCTGTGCACAGACAAACCAGAGGCTCAATAATGACAACAAAAACCAACGAAACCCTGATACAAGCAGGATCAAGATTCCCTACAGTCGAAAAGGCACGCAGTCACACTATCATGCAGCAGGAATCGTTTGATTAGCATTAGACATTCTTGATTTAAGTTGATTATTTTTTAAATTATAAAATTCTGCTTTTCTGGTCTTCAGATCAAAATCAAACGCCTTGTAAAATCTTGATCAAAATCTAGCGCACATGTAAACCATTTGATCCGGATACAAAATTAGAAAATATTTGAAATTGAATGGCCTCTGCAATTCATAAGTCGTATAAACAATTTGATGGAACCAAGATGAGCAGATGCGTGCAGAGGTTGTAACAAAAACAATTACCAAACACAGGACACATAATACATCAATATGAGATTATCACCAATAAAACCATAAATGACAGGAATTGAAGGTATGGAAATGTGAATTGATGAAAATTAGCTATATCAACTTATAGTAGTATTCTGTATAAAGGTGAAGATTAGCACTGATTACAATTTTCAAAGTTTATATGGTATAGTGCTATAAACTAATCATATCCTGAAAATTAAAAGTAAAGAACTCGTACTACGTAATTTTTTTTGTATTTTGGGAGAGAAGTTCTTAGTCTACCTGATCATAGGCCCTTTGCAAGAACGATGAGTAAATTGCACAAAAAGGCTTTAGGCCTTCACAAGCTAGACCTGCGGCAAATGTAACGGCATGTTGTTCCGCTATCCCAACATCAAAGCATCTTGTTGGGAATCGGCGATGGAAGAGATTCATGCCAGTTCCACCTCCCATCGCAACATGGATTGCGATAATGTCTTTGTCAGCTTTAGCTTCTGCAATCAATGCCTCTGCAAAATATGTTGTGTAAAGATTGCGTAGCAGCTTTGGCTTTGAATTGCTTTCTAGTTGGCGGATCAAACTTGGCAACTCCTACAAAATAAAACCAACTCACATATCTGTGAGGAATATAGCAAGTCAAAGCATATAGGTCACGAAACAAATAGATTTTCATTTGAGATAATTGAATATGCTTCTCAAGGAAAAAAGATGGATAGTAATTGAGAGTATCACATTAAATATCTGAAACCAACACGTGACCTATTTATTTCGTGAATTATGAACAAGAATAGATAAGTGTTAGAACACAGATTGGTTCTTAATAATTACTCTTTGTTTTGATGATAACTGTTAGGAAATTTATATTTAAGAATTATATACTCTAAAATTTGTTTGAGAGTTTTACTGCAGATTGAAATTATATTAACTCTCTAGAAGCAAATCTGCCTTGAATACAAGAAGCTATTCTGACTCTGAAGCGCCAGATGCACCTCACAGAAGAATCTGTTTGCTCCTTACAGAAGATCCTGAGCGTAGTCTCCAGAAGGATCTGAAGCAAGAAGCTCCAAAACATTCTGAGTCAGAAGCATCTGAAGATAGTCAGAAGCATCTGAAGATAATCAGAAGCGTCTGAAGCTGAAGCATCAGAAGTATAGAAGAATATTGATTGAAGAGTTTCTCAAAGCATTGATCTACAGAAGTTTCTGAAAATACCTACGCTGCCTTATACTGAAGTTCTGTGTCAAAATGCTCTGATGATCAACACGCTAGAAGCACACACGCTGCAGAAGACTCTGATACAGCATAGTTCTGAATCTCATCAGAAGACTCTGATCCATTCAGACTCTGAAGAACTTGCTGAAACTGAAGAAGTGTTTTCAAGAATATATCCGTTGGAGCTATTCAACGTCTCTTTCCTTATTTGTGCTAGACACACTTACACAGACAAAAAGGATTTTTCTGTGCCATCTATTTCAAGGAAAAGTCAGTGCATGTGAAGACAAAAAGGCTCAGACCTTTTGGACCCTCTTTTCAATGATCAGCTTGTATGATTCAGCTGCCTATAAAAGGAGATCTTTACTTCATTCTTCAGTGCTACACCTTTGCTGAAAAGAAATTATAATATTCTAAAGCCTTCATTCTTATATTCTTCATAGAATCTCATTGTACTTAAACTTAAGAGAAAAATCACTGTTGTGATTATAGCTTTATAGAAGCATTAAAAACTCTTGTATTTAAT